CATTACTTCAAATTTGTTTTTAACACAAAGTCACAAAAATGTCACTTAAATATTGAATCAAATTACAAAAATAATGTTGTGCACATGTATACCTCAGTAAACTATCTTTGTACAAAATTTAAACTGAAACGTTCATTGCATTCAAGAGAAAATAGCATGGGTACCATGAAAAACAAAATGGCCACCAATCACATATTTGTTCGAATCACGAAAAAAAATATGACGTGCACCTATAACCCAATATGTATGATCAACATATCAACTTTGATCTAAATTGGCCTAATCATCTCTGACAAACAGTCCCGGACATGTAAAAATTACGATTTAGCACATGAAAATTAGGTATTCGCCGGCCATATTGAATCGAATCACAAAAATAATGTTGGTGCACATGTATCCCTCGGTATACTATCTTCATGCACAATTTTAACTGAAACGTTCATTGCATTCAAGAGAAAGTAGCATATGGGCTACCATGAAAAACAAAATGGCCGCTAGTCAACCATATTTGTTCGAATCACGAGAAAAATATGACGTGCACCTATAACCCAATATGATATTACGGTAAACCAAGTGTCATCTGCTTCAATGTAATTATTGTATATAATATAAATAACTTGAAGGCCATCAGTTAGACGGGATTGCGTGCCAGGCCGATCTATTTAAATATATTGGTGATGACGATACATATTCCCAACAACAGTTATATCAAAACTTATAATATTATGATGCTTTGTGTGATTGGAATTCCAAGTGTATATAGTACAACTGGATTGTTTTTATTTGGGCGAGGGTCCTTAAAATTATTGAACATCAGTCAAGGGTCTTTAAAATCCAAAATTGTCAAGACCCTCCCTAAAGGTTTCTTAATGAAACCAGCTTTGTGAAGCCCATTATTTCATTATAATACATCGAAATGATGAAAATTAGCAAATCCTATAAAAGCGAAAAACATCCAGGTAAAAGATCAGAATTGAACACATAACAGTATATCGGCGCCTTGGATCACCGCATTCCAAATTCAATCGAATAAACGTGCACTTTGGAACCGACTGCTGAACCAAAACAAATCAAACTTGTCAAAACAAATCAAACTTCGTTCAACAAAAACCACAAAACAAATTTTTTGAGAGCACTTCGAATTTATTTATTTATTTTGACTGACAGTCACGTCTGTAATAATACAACTATGTTTGTAGTTTGGGATTGTTCAAGTCGATGATTATTACAAAACGCCGCTACCCCCTATTGCAAAACGCGTCGGTATTTTTTTATTACAAAACGCCGCTACCCTTATCACAAAATGCGCCAGTGATTTTATTTCAAAACGCTGCAACCCTTATTACAAAACCCAACCACAAGGTCGGTGACAGTACTTTATTTTGGCCGTTGTATTTCTGTATTACGTTTAGCGATTCTTCTACACCATAGTACCTCACGATACAATTTATGTTGTGACAGTAATAGTCAATAATGGATACTGTAATTATCATATTATAAGAGCATTTCAAATAGAAGATTAAAAATCATTGTACACTGGATCATAATAATATTTTAGTGATTTATCTGTCATTATATAAGCACAAATACTCTAACATGTTACATGTGAAAAACAATAAACATTCAAAGTGGAATCCTTCACCAGTAAATAAAATGTAATAGAGGTACTTATTAACCGGGCAATAGCTGTATTGTTTGTTTAAATATAACCACATAAAGACGACCAAATCTTACAAAAATGAGCTTAGACACAAATTTGGGGTCAAAGTGGCCGTACACATAGCTAATGTCACATAAACATGCAATGTGAAAACTAAGGGTCGGATAACCACCATTTTTGTTAAAATGCTCATGTTATGTGGAATGTACAAAATTATGATGCACAATGCACATATTATGGGGAATGGCCATAACAGTATCAATGAGAGCCCGTCGTTTAAAGATTCAAGATTTCAAGCAACTGACAATTATATGTTAATAGTTAATATTTATGTTATATACATTAATATATGCAATATTATAACATAAAGAGTGACACAAACACTTATCAGTCTGATAATTAGTGAGTAAGTAAACCAGTAACGACTTGTACTTAAGCACACATTATGACATCACTAGAATCACACCGATGATTAAATGAATTGATAATTTTGATTATAATATAAAGACATATAACTCAAACTAAATAGAAAACACATATGAAAGAAGCTCATATTTGATTAAACAAATTGCAAAGAGAAACATTATACAAACTTACTTGTATGTATTTCAATTGTTGATGGTTCACTCTCAGATTGACTAGAACTAGCTGTACCACTCACTGCAGTAACTGTGATGTTTTCTAACTTTCCTGCAGTTTTATAACCAGTACATTCAGCACTGTAAGTGACTGCATCATCTACATACTGTACACATGAATCTGCTGCTGTACCACCAGGTGAACACTGCACTGTATAGTAATCGACTACATCCCCAGCAATACTACTCCATGTTACAGCTATTGTATCATTGCTGATCTGAGTATCATTTCTAGCAAGAATAACTTGATTGGGTTCTGAAATAAAAAGTAAAACACAAACATTATTATTAACACCAAACAGTTGATGTTCAATTGTTAGTGAAATAATTCACTTTGAAATAAAGAAAGAAAAAGGAGACACTAAAACTACTGCAAAAAAAAACGCATTGATCGTGAAATGTATTATATTTATTGCTTAACATATATCTGCTCGCATTAAATACTTGCCCTCCTCAAAATAATGTACCTGTATTTGTACTGCTCATAATATATCAAAATTATTCACAATCGCTTATTGCTCATGGACTCAATTATTTATTTTAGTATTTTTTCATGTTTGTGACGATTAATAATATTGTGGAATTAATCAATCACATATTATAAAACAACATCTTACTTGTATGTATATTCATTGTTGATGGTTCACTTTCTGCTCCAGTGGTGCTAATATTTCCACTCACTGCTGTCACTGTGATGTTTTCTAACTTTCCTGCAGTCCCATACCCAGTACATTTAGCACTGTAAATGACTGTATCATCAACAAACTCAACACCAGAATCTTCAGCTGTTCCACTAGGTGAACACTGCACTGTGTAATAATCTACTACATCTCCAGCAATACTTCTCCATGTTACCGCTATTATATCATTTGTGATGTGCCTATCGTCTCGAGCGAGAACAACACTGTTTGGTTCTGAGCAAATAAAATAAAAAAGAAGCAATGATTTTCAAATGTTTTGGAAATAATTATTATATTTATTATATTATATACCTTGTGTTACTATGGATCGTGTGTTGTCTCAGTACTGAAATAGTTTTTATAAACTGATTGTTGTGGTTCGGAGTCCATGATGGGGTATTCATTTAATCTGATAGCTACAATATGTTCAAGCATTCTGGAGATAATTTGTACATTTGATATGGGACTATATTTATTGAGCATTTCGGAGGTCAAGTGACGTTTATTTCAAGCGGAGGCATTGCAAATTCTGACTTGAAATAATTTGGAATGATACCGTATAGAAGTAAGAGGATGATAATGTAATAACACAGGTGATTCAAGATATTAGCCACATTTTTAACTTAATAAGTAGATGCATGAACGTTGGATCAAGACAACGATTATCTGAGTATTGTGTTGGACTCGTCTGTTGTCAAGAACGAGAAGTTAGTTGAGGGAGCAAATGCACCGCAAAAAATTGTGTCCTACTATGAAACAACATCTTACTTGTATGTATCTCCATTGTTGATGGTTCACTTTCTGATCCGGTGGTGTTGAGATCTCCACTCACTGCTGCCACTGAGATGTTTTCTAACTTTCCTGCAGTCTCATAACCAGTACATTTAGCACTGTAATGGACTGTATCATTCTGTACACGTGCATCCTCTGGTGTACCACCAGATGAACACTGCACTGTGTAGTGATCTACTATATCCCCTGAAATATTACTCCATGTTACAGCTATTGTGTCATTGGTGATCTGAGTATCATCTCTGGCAAGAACAACACTGTTGGGTTCTGGGTAAAACGAAAGCAAAACAGAAACATTATTATTCAAACCAAACTTTTGATTCGAACTGTTAAATTGTTGGCTTAAAAA